GGAATATGTTTGTATGTGTTAGGATATATTTGTACCTTTTTGTATGCTTTTGAATATGTCGTTAAATGTCTGTAAATAGTAATATTTGCATACGTTGAATTATGTGCAAAAGCTATTGTGTTGTGAACATTTTGTATGTTCGTGTACATTTGTATATGATTGTATGTTACCTAAAAGCATAAGTATAAGTGCATATTTCGTGTGATGTGTGTGTGTGTTGAGTGTGTGTGTGTGTGTGTGTAATAGGTGTGTTTGTAACGATTGTGTGTAACTATGTGTGAGTGAGTGTGTGTGTGTGTGAGTGTGTGTGAATGTGTGTGGTGTTTGTATGTGTGTGTGTGTGTGTGTGTGTGTCAAATTATAAAAATGTCAACAATGAATTAATGAAGAGAAAACACGAACAGCGCACTATTTTCAGTCAATCAGAAAAATAATTTGGAAAAAATTTTTCACAATGGAAAGATAAAATAGCATAGAATTTTTCACATCATTGCTTTTAAAATTCCGGAAATATAAAAAAATATTCTAATTATTATTCTAAATATTATTATTTTAATAATAATATTAATAATATTATTATTAATATTATTTTCTGATGGTTATGTAAACATATGTATAGGAGAGTTTTCAAGTTAGTTGAGATGAAATTTTACACAGAACCGAAACGAAAATGAACGAAAATTTTAAAGTTAGTTATTCCAATAGTTTTTAAATGAAATAAAGTAAACAAATGCATGGCTGAATAAAAAATTTATCTAATTATTACTTGTTCAGTTTTTTTTACTTAACTTTAAAAAATAATAATCACTTAAAATTTTATTAATTTTACTACAAAAATTTTTCATATAGACCACATATTTGCCCTGCAGCCAGCTTACAACGAATATTTCAACTTAAAACGTTCTGAGCAATAACAAAGATAGTATTAAGTTCATCTAGTATCCAAAGCAAGTGAAGTAATCATAAATATAACGTAATTCTAAATAAATTTACATTAATTTTATTAATTTTTGGAGCAAATTACTATAAGTGAGAAGCCGTTGCTAAATAAGCAAGTTTCAGCGCGTCTAAAAAATTTTTCAGAGAAAAAAATTCAAATATTGAAATGTAAATGTTTTATGGTAGACCATTAGTTGTCCGCAAGCAATATCAATAGGTTAGAATGCATCTTCTGTTTGTTTTTCAGATTAATTTCTATAATAAAAAATTTCATCGCAACCAAATGTATACAAAAAATAAATGTGGGAGCTCGGTTCGACAGTTGAGCAAATATCAGAAGCCTGCAGGGCGCAATGAATTCTATATGAAAAATTGACGAGAGTTAATACCCTTTGTGAATAGGATAAAAACTATTCATTGAAAGTGGTTTTTTCTTTATTTAACTTAATTTAAACCATGTTCGGATAATTTCATCTATTCAAAACAGATTAATCTGTTTTCAAATACAATTGTTAATGATTTCCAACATAAAAATTTAAATTTGCAATAGAAGTATTTTTTGCCACCAAATCAATTTTTTTTGTTTTGCTTATTGTTTTGAAAGAAATATATTGAAGCATTAAGGTATTAACGTCTGATTCATATACTGCGCGGTTTGCTATCGGGTTAGTTGTGGAAATTATCGAAAGGAATGACCTTCTTGAAAATATAAAATTATGAATGAGAAGGCAAGCAAATAAATTCTGGTATGAAATTTTTGTTCCGTATAGAAACATTTTTTTGTGAACTTATCTCTGGAGTAAACAAATTAAAAAAAATCATCCATCAAATTGAAATGGTAATTATTTTTTGAAAAAAGCAATCAAGCTAAGTAGTCGTTCTTTCATAAATTCATTTGATATATATTTTTCGTCGATTATTATCATGAATATTTCGAGATTCAACATTATTTAATGATTTTAAAAAAAGTTGCTTCTTCTGCGTTTAAATTTTGAAAAATATATAATTGTTTTGTTTTAAATTTATCATTATAAACAGACGGACATAATAATTCAACTTAGCCACTGATAAATTCTATAAATGTGAAAAAATTTAATGACAATGTTGATTGCAAAATGCTTTTTGGTATGGCTGAGTTTTGTGAAAATTCCAGCTTTAAGCGCCTAATTGCTAATGACATTAAAAATTGCTTATATCCAAAGCAAAACGTAAAAACGTTTTATAAAGAAGGGGAAAATTGTGAAGAGAGTCGACTAATGTGCGTGTGTGTGTGTGTGCGTGCGCGTGTGTGTGTGTGTGCGTGCGCGTGTGTGTGTGTGTGTGTGTCTGTGTGTGTGTGTTGAATTGTTGATTAACTTATTTATTTGGAATTCAATTCTTGGGTTTAACGATACTTTACCTTGATAAACCAGCACAACTTATGTGCAATAGATATAACAAGTGTTAAATTTTCTTCAAAGTTTAATGTTATTCATAGATCAATGATAAGCTCTTATAACAGTATAAATTAAAAAAAAACATCGATACAACAATGCACTTTAGATACAGTCCCTGATAGAATACTGCCTGTCTTTTGTAGCGATTGATTATTTCGACCATGCTAGCGGCAAAAAAAAGCTGAAACAATGTCTGCGTCAATCTCATAGTTTCAAATTCTGTTATTTTACTTTTTAGAGTTTAAAAATGTCAAAATTAATTGTTTAAAAAATAAAACAGACACATCTAATAATGATAATAATGAAAATGATAAAAACATCATTATTATTACTATTGTTATCAGTGATGATGATGAAGATGATGATGGAGATGATGATGATGATGATAACATTTCTAATTGTAATGATAGAGAGTGATGGTAACTCTATTATATTTGTAACAATTTTCAAAGTTAAATTACAAAAAAAATGATGTGTCATTAGGCCCCGAAAGTGAAATATTTTGTAAACTGGAATATATGAACAAATAACCAAACAACGGCTTAGTCATAACTATCATCTTTATCATCATTAGCATTATCATCACCCTCAAAATCATTATCATCTTCTTCATCATCATTACAATCATAATCATCATCATAATCATAACTAGCATCATCATCATCGATGTTTATTTTTTGTTTTTTTTTTCAACGTTATAGACGTCTTTAATACAATCATTATCATTATCCCTCTCGCCATCGTTTTCGTCATCATCATCGTAATGAAACATCATCACCATCACACTTATCATTGTCATCATCATCATCATAATCAAAACATCATCACCATTCTTCTTATCACATTTCCTATATATTCAAACTTATCATCGTCGTCATCATCGTTAAAATCATCACTTACTGTTGACCTCGCAATGATCACGTCATGTTCTTCGTCAGAGTTCGCGAACATCAGACAGAAATATTTATTTATAATGAAAAATATTTTTTTTCACCACATGACACCATAAGGAAATCTAGGCACAATACTATTTAATGATTTAACGTCACGATGGTTATGAAACTGTTTTTTTTTGAATATTTAAGAAATTAAATAATTTTTTAATAAGTAGAAACTTAACTACGATCTATGAAATATTTTGAAGTATACATTAAAAAAATAGCGTTATATTATTAAAGTCAAACGAAAAAAATAATTTAAATTTTTGTCACAGGCGGATTTAGTACCTCCAACTAGACTATGAAAGAGAAAAATTTTAAAGACACTGTGTCAAATTTAGCCAAAAAATAAAAGAAAATACGCTAAAAAGGTCTTTAAGTTAGGAATATTGAAAATCATCCTCTAACAAAATTGGGACAGAAGAAAATTACGGAATCACAGAAAATTACAAATTTACAGAAAAATGTCATCAGCTTCAGCGTTTTAAAATCACCACCCACACCTTGAAACTCTGGATCCAACTCTTATTACTGTGTGGTTTTACGTACATTTTTTTTGATATAAATAGATAAGTATAAAAATTTCTAAAAATTAAATTTGAATGATGTTGAAAATTTGTGTATGTTTGTAGGTATGTATTGCAATTTATATTCACAGGCTGATTGGACGTACTTACATGTGAGCATAAACATAACACGAACCAAACGAGGCATTTCTATTCATTGGCTGCCAGTTTATTTATGCCTACAATGTTATTGAAATGTTTTGCTATGATAGAATGAATTAATTCAGCATTATAGTGCATTATTAATGATTTGAAAAAAAAATTAGAAAATAGAATATTTTTAAATAATTAACAACATAGATGAAAGTAATAAATTTGCATCGGCTACCTCAGTGATGAAACACCATTGATGGAAAACAAACTAAACGCATTAATACATGTGAATAACGTGATTATGGAGAATCAGAATGCAATTTTTACATGGATATGGTCTCTTGGTTAAAACGAAAATAAAAATATTGATACATACTCCTTAACTTGTGAACAACTTAATAAGAAAGCCGTTGAACGCATTAATTAACGTTAAAAAAGTGGTAAAAATAAATTCAAGCGTTAGAGGTACACACGCGCGATTGCAATGATTTAAACGCTCACCAGAACAATTTTTAGAGGCCAGATTTACAGCGGCCAGTTTTACTCTACCTGTTTTTATTACGGTAGTTTGTTTTTTTATATTAATCTTTTGATGTACAGATAAAATATTGCTTTGATTGTATTTCGTGTATTTATTACAGGTTTGTGCAGTAACAACAGCATTTGCTGCTATATTAAATTTTTAGCCAGCTATTTATTTTGCTAGAGAAGATATTATTTTAATATCGGTTGTTAGTTTTTAGTATGCTGTTCTTATAGTATGTTGATTATATGTCTTGTGGTTTTTGTTGAGCAATTGGTGTCTTCGTTGTAATGGTCTTTGTTTCAATTTTTCTATCACATTCTGTTGTTGTTGCCGTTGTTGTTGAAGTTGTATTTACGATATATCCATGTTTTTTTCTTGAATAAATTTTGAAGCTGTACGTATTGTATTTTCATATACTATCTCATAGTGTTAGGATTAAATGCCAGTGTTTTAACATCAACATAGCAATTTAGTCTTGTAATAGAAAATGAACATCGTTATGTCAACGTAGTACGCCGGCGAACCACATGCAAGCAGCTGCATGTGATGACAATGTTCCAATGTTTTTCATGCCGTAACTCTGTTAAGGCGAAACTTTTGCGATAATTTTTTTAAACATTTTATGAGGCAACATGTGGCTTCTGCCACGTAACTGACGCGTGTTATGTCGTTTTATGTGAGCGCCATCCATGCTCGGCTTTTCACTTTATAAAGTGCTAAAAATTTTTTCATCTGTGCGTGTTTTTGTCAGAATATGTAGTTTTTCTAAATTTGTGATCATATCTTGTGGAAATACCACAAAACTTCTTTACATTTTTCTAAGGAAAAAAAATAATTTTAATCAAGTAAACGGAGAGTAATCGAGGCAATTGAGTAGAATCCGTAATAAAATGAAAACAATGCTCTGGAAGGACAACAGCGCAACAGAATGACACCAACACAGCAACAATGCACCAACATGACATTAATGCACCAACAAAATAACAATGCACCAACCATCCATGCGCACTGCTCATTGAGACTCCGATTGAGAAATGATTCACCCTCGCTCACGCCAAAAGGACACTTTTGATTGGCCGTCTCGTACGAACACGTGACTTCGTTGGTTGTAGTGATCCTCTCCTTGAACACGTCCAGGGTGAGTATGTAGAAGTTTGGGACTGGGTGGCTGGATGTTTGTGAAAATTTTGTACTGGATGGATGGATGGATGCTTGTGAAAAAAGGCGATTTTAAATAAAAGAAAATGAGTTGGAATAGATGGATAAAATTACTGCAACAATTTGAAACAGCAAACTTTTAATAATTAAATGCGAAATGATAACATGTAAAAAATAGGTTTATAAAAATTAAATAAGTTTTTCCTAATTTTTAAACGAACTACCACAAAAAATGCATAGACGATAATAAAATTGTAAAAAATAATTAAAGTTAAGACGTGCTAGATTGAAAGGAATGTTTTTTTTTACCGCAAAATTATTTCCTCGTCAAAAATTATTTCCGAATCTTCCTAGCTATAACTTTATATTGATATCATTAATATGATCATGTCTTAAAAACGTATTTTATATCGACAGAAGTATCAATATACTTATAAAAACAATTATCTGATTACAATCAAAAACATAATAACGTTTGTTTTTCTTCGTTATTCTACAATTCATGGGCGGTAACAAAACCAAGAACATGCACAGTGCACGAGAATGCAAGTAAATTAACGCATCATTCAAAATGCATGGGCTGGACAAGGATTTGTTTGCATTTTAATGCGGTAACTCCTACGCCAACGCATTTCCCAGTTAAAAGATCCATTTTTTCAAATGTCGCCACTGATGACAGTTTGAAGATATCCTCAACAGCAGCAACGATATAATCAAAACAATCGTACAACATGCGTCACTAAAAATATCATGATATAAATTAAAAAGGTCACCGACAAATCATAAATCAAATTACCGGCATAGATTGTTGAGAACATGTTTGAATCTATCTTTTTCTTCCGTGACTTTGAATTTATTCATCATAAATTCGTTATCATCCTTCTCATGTTCCACATCCACAAAATCAAACTGAGAACTCAAAGTCTCTATCGTTAGGTCCACAATTAAACCGCTGGACCTCACAAACCTGACCGTCTTGAAGTTGCTGTTTGTGTTGCCAGCGTTGTTGCTGCTGGCAGTCGATTTGTTGGTATCTTCGCTTTTAATCAGTTTGTCAATAGGATTGGCTAACCAGGCTTCAGTTCTGACAACATCTTCAATGTCCTTGTATTGATCGAATGTCGTGAGGTCGAAGTATGCGGAGAGGTGAGGCTTTTTCGCTTCATCGGAGTCACTTGAGTTGATTGGAGGACCAAGTTTTGAAAAATTTACTGACGATGAAGATGATGGTGAAAATGATGAGACTCCAAGCGATGATGAGGAATGGGATGACGATGATGAAGATTGGGACGATGATGAGGAATGAGGTGACAGTGGCCTCGCATTTGAAGCGGATAGATGCGGTGTCCTTGAAAGCGTTGCCGGTGTCAGCGCGTCAACAAATACGTTTCTACTGACCATTACGTGGATATCTGGGAAAATAAATTTGTTCAACTAAATTTGAAATGAAATAAATTTTGTGTGTCACGTGGCTGGCTGGACACTCACTCCATTGATGGTTGACATTTGCATAAAAGACATCACGAACAAGTGCTACAGATGCACTTCTTACTTTCCTCTCATAAATAATTTAATTCCCGATCCCAATGCGGCTTTGTTTTTATTTGTTTCGGCGCAATGCTATTTAGCTAAAAATAAATACATTATTTAGAAATCATGTGTTCATTAAATGTTAATCTTTTCAAAAGTAATAAAAATTTAAAATAACATTTAATAGCCATTTAAATATGCGAAAATATAATTATGTGAGCTACAAAACGGACATAGTTAAATGTTTTCAATTCAATATAAATATAAACGCTAAAAAATAGCATACCAAAAACGCCGATAACAACATTGGAAGCTACAGAAATTATGCGAAAGAGGTTAATCAAAAAAAGCTGCAGGCATTGAGAATTAAAAATTCATTTCAAGTTCAGAGGTACACAAAACCCTTTTAAACTTTAAAACACGGTATAAATATTTTTTTTGATTCATGAATATTTATGTGAGTAGTGTTCAATTATTTACCGTAATTTAACAAATCAACTCTTAATTTTCAGCGCAATTACTATTCATAGCTATTTAAAGGAAGTATTTTAAAAAATAAATATAAAAATTTTGAAAAGATTTAAAAAATATTCTTTAAATAAAATTTTTTTTAAACTTTTTAATGAAAAATAAATAATTCGCAAAAAACTTCAAATAAATTTCTAGCATAGATTTCGTGAAGAAATCCGAAGTTGTTGGAAATTTTGTTTACTGATTCTGCCTTGAAATATCGCCTTGCTACACAAATATCCTTCGAACGTGGCATGTGGTCACGTTTCTGGTTTCTTCTCTTCTTTTTTAGTTTACAAATTTCGAAATTTACTTTTTTTTTCAAATTTACGAGAAAGTGTTATCATTTGAATGTTTAAACTTTTATTTAAATTTTCATTACATTAGCAACGATTTATATTTTAACTGGATTATTTATTAGTTTTTGATCGAACGAAGAGATTATATGTTAATTCACAGTGGTTTCTTAAATAAGCAATAAAAGATGACAAAATTAAAGCATCCTTCTTTTTTAATAATGCTATCCTTAAATTTCACTTCATATTTTCATCAATGTCTCTTCACTGTTATTTTGTTTTATAAACAAACTTCAAGAACAAATGAACATTTTTTTAACTCTTACTTTGAATGTTCTAGGAATAAACAAAAAAAATTAATTTTTAAAATTACAGAGGTCAGCGATGAATACATACATCTTACATTTGACTAGCAAAAATTTCATGTCGTAACTGACGTCCAAGTCACATTTGTTTATTTTTATTAAATTTTTAATTTAAATTTTTACACTGACTTTGTTTAAAATGATTTTTGAAAAAATAGCTTACTAATAAAAATGCCGACAGCAAACGAACTTCAATAATAATCAATACAAAAACCCAAAACAGAAAATCAGTTACATTCCACATACAAAAAGATAAAGTAACCCAATAAAAAGCAAACAAAAGAAAACGAGAAAGGGGATTCCTCTAAACCTTGTAATGTATAAACACTTCAAAATTGGACATATTTGTGTGCGTATGTAGAGGAGAGGTCAGAGCATTGCAGTTGGACGCTGGCGCGCAGTTACGTATAATGAATGTTCCTCTTCAACATGCACCCTGCACTTACACATAAATGCTGAATCTCCATTCATACGAATGTGCAGTGGCTGCTGCTGCTTCACATTTTTCTGTCGTAAGTCTTTCTGTATTCAAGCGCTGAAAATATTTCCATAGTGAACAAAAGGACGTGGAAACTATACTGCCTGGTATGGATACCAAATTGTTTTTGTTTTTTATTTCGCGTGTTCAACCATTTACAGGACAACCTTGATTTTTAATTGCTATAAGATACTAAATTGATTTTAGTCTTCATCATCCCAAGACTTCAATTTTTTTCAAAAAAAAACCACACCATTTGCCTGTCATTGAAGCGTTGAAAACTGAAAACAAACACGTCTAAACATTACAAACAAGCAAACCTGAGTGCACAACGGACAAGAAGACATGAACAAATTTGCGCGAATATGATGGCGAAATTGCAAAAATGCTCGATCTCACTGGAATGCATGCATGCCTTCATGAGTATCACACAGTCAACATAAAAAGCTTACATATGAGCTAACCACATAAAAGTCTTGAAAAAAAAATAAATCCGAAAAAAATCATATATATACAAATGCATGTACATGAAATCCCATGCTGCACCATTTGAACACTGCACATTATGCTAACAAACTCGCAGGTACACATAAAAATACAAACAACAGATCTAACCAACACACAACCACTTATACAAGAAAAGATCTAACTTGACACACACACACACAAACTTACACAAAAGCACACACTTGAAATACAGACAGACATTTATTGAAGCGTGTTCATTCATTGAAGTTTTAAAGGGTTGGCTTGAATTGAAGAATGAACGACTGCGCCTTGAAACTCCCAACTCACTTCCTGTCAAACAAAGCCAGAAGTAACAACCTACTTGAGCAATGTTCAAAACGTCCACTGAGTCGGTTACACAGACGCAAGAATTCATTGGCACCTCCTCGCATCCAAGATAGGCACGTAAAATCATTTGTTTGTTTGTACGAACTGACAAGGGAAAATAAGTTTTGCAAAACTATAAATAATAATGAAACGGCTTAAATAAAACCAAATTAATATGATATAATAAATATTCAAACAACAACAAAAAACAAACCAAAATTCAAAACACAAACCTTCATCCAAGCATTCATTCTATACAGAATCATACGAGCGTGAATAAACTCATTGACACAAAATTTATCCAGCCGACACATAGATATATGTCACAAACAACTTGGAAGCACGAGAAACGTAAGAGTTGTCAATCAAATTCTCATATGAAAGCAATGAAGGCATTTCTGGATTCGAAACTAATTTCGCCATAAACTTCATAAAAAAATTATTATAAACAAAGAAGGGAAACGAATAAAAAAAAATTGAACAGCTAAAAATCGACTAATTAACTGAAATTAATAAATAAACTGTGATCACCATCACACAATGAAATAATTTACATCCTTATGACACAACAGAGACGATGATGTTGTTGACGATGGTAAAGATAAAAAAGCAGCCCATAAAAAATTTAATGATGTATCAACAAACAACATTTCCCTTCCTCCGCATATATGGCGTGTCTTTTTATAGGAAAACTGGCATTGTAAACGCATTTATATTGCCTGAGTCATGGATTTCTCGGGTCGTGAACTTTGACCTGACGTGTTTGTATTGACCTCGTTAACATTCCGATTGTGTACATGTATTTTTGCGTGCTGTTGAGTTACTGTATATGTGTGCGTGTGCACGTTTGTGTTATATATATATATATATAAATAATATATTTATATATATTTATATTACGTAATATATTATTAACGTTGTCATTTATTATTAAATAATATATTAGCATTAGTTAGGATAAACAAAAAATAGTAAGTTTAAAAAATCGAATGACAAATAGGTGAAGAAATTTGATGGATAAATGAATATTTCCCTATATATACAGCAAGGAGCACTGACGATGATTCATTCGGAATCGAAATATGGCCTTATTTGCAGCATGAATTCGAAAAATAAGTTTATTTTGAATTTTAATAAACTAAACGTTCACCAAAAAACTTTAGTGAGAAAAATCGAAAAAACGAACTACAAACATATTAACGCCAAACATTCGGTAGAATTTATAGAATATTGTAAATATATATATATATATATATATATATATATATAAATATATATATATATATATATATATATATGGTTGCATGAACGCTGTAGAAAACTGTGCTTTATTTTACACCACATTTTGGTGGAGAGTTTTCGAGATCTCGGTGATTTAGATTGCTTTCAAAAAGACAATTCGATCACCAAACCGTACTGTGGGTAAAGTCGTGATAGATAGATAAGATAGATAGATAGACAAACTCCGACGAATGCAGTTTGGAAATAGAGATGAAAAGGACGGTGTTTCCAAACTAAAATTTCATCTATTTTTTTCCTTATTTTAAATTATCGACATAAAATAGAAAATGCGTTTTTAATTATGTTTTTGAATATAAAATTAAATCGCTGTTTAAATATTTTGGAAGCTAAATAATCATCAAAATTCACGCTGGAAGAGCATTTTAAGTTTCAAGTTAGCAAGTTAATTTCAAGAGCATTTTAAGTTTCATAGTTTTAAGCAAGTTAAGATTAAAGTGAAGTTTGAAATACGTTCGAACGAAATACGTTCAAGTACGTATTAAATACTTGAAGACAAATTAGCAGGCTAGATGAATAAGAAGAAACATTGAAAACGATTGAATATGTGAATAACCTTCGCATTACTGTTTTCACTTGTTCAAATATATATATTTATTAATATTTGTATACACTTTTAAGTTGTTAGACAATTATAATTGATTTTCATTTAAAGTTCAATTTAAAACAATGTTAGGGCAGAATGAAAATATTTTGAATAACGAAAATATTTTGAAACTATGCGTCGTACAGCCAAAAAAATTCATAACTAGTTGGACGGATGCGTTGATCGAATTCTTAAACTCGGAGATAAAAGCGTTCGTGATTGTCCGATATGTTTGGAAATAGTTGTTGGTTCTCAAGATGTAGTGTATCTTAAGCGTTGTCTGCACCGGTTCCATCTTTCGTGCTTGAAGGCGATGTACGAAACGAACGGTAGGATACTTAAATGACCTGTATGTAGATTTCATTATAAATTTTCACATATGTTGCGTTTGATGTTTTGAGAAAAGACTGTACTAAGAAGAACAGTGAGCGCGGGAGAGGAAAAGAATAGTATTAGTTTGGATAGGCTGGACAGCAGCCCGAATACCCATCAGAATTGTTATCGCAGTTTCTTATAAAGCCCGCACAAATCACTTTGTTAGCTCGTGGTGTTTTATTTATTATTGAAGATTGTTAGTCTCTTAGTTGCTAGGATTTCAATCCGACACATATATACTCTTGCGATTGGGGAACTCTCTACGTATTTATTTTAGAAAGAATAGCAAGAATGGAAATTAAAATTTTCAAAATCATGTTGTATAATATAGATATGGAGCGTAATTTATACGGTCATCGATGCATTTGATGGTCATGGCATCTTAGCTGCCTTGTTCTTATTCCCTAATAGGAAGACTATTCTTTTCCTCATTTCACTAATGTTGTTTATTTTCAACAATTCATCAGCCGTAAAGATCATATTGTTTTCCATTTTTTTATAATGTGCTCTAGGTGATCCATCATTGTAGATCTGATTTCATTGTACGTTTGTTCAGCTATTGTTTTTATTTTCTTGTCCAGTTCCTCACTTTTATCCTATCCGTCATTTTTTCCAGGCTGCGCTTTAAAGTAGTTGCGTTGTCTTGGGTCCAATTTTTTTGTGCAAGTAGGCCTGGACATATTTGAACAATCTTTTGCTTATACTCACTATTGCCTCAAATTCCTCCTTTGGTAGCGAATTGAAGGTGTTTTCTTTGGGACTGGTCTCCATATTCTTTTCTTTATTGGATTTGGTTGTCTCTTTATTACTATCGATCTTTTTATTGATTATTACTTTGTTATTATTGATTGTTTTCTTTATTACTTCTACTTATTCATCGAAGTTTTATTAGTTGTGTTGTGCTGAGTTGTGTCTGTTTGACGAGTGTTGCCGTGCTTCACAACAGTGTTCCACTCTTCCGGGTTTTTGATGAGTGGTGGTGGTCATTTGCCGTTGTCGTCTTGCAGCCAAAAATATCTATTACCAGTTGGACGAGCATGTTAAGTCTGGATGTAATTATTAAAGATAAGAATGTTCGAGATGATTTTTGTCCGATCTGTTTAGAAGCATTCATTAATTCATGAAATTTAGTTTATCTTAAGCATTGTCTGCACCAGTTCATCTTTAGGGTCTAAAGATGATGTACAAAACAAGAAACCGTGAGAAAATTGAATGTCCTTTATGTAGGTTTCATTATCGACTTCCACCTATACATTGTCGTTTTATTGAAACTCTCTACGTTTATATTTTCGAAAAAATTGTAAGAATAGAAATTGAACTACTTGAAATCATCTCGTTCTAAGATGGTTGAAAGCTTGGAAACATAGGAAAATAAAGAATTACGATGACTTTTTGACTGAGACAAATTGTAATTTCAATTCAATAAAAGCCATACTAGACAAGTTGAACATCACCCCAAGTGATTTCGTGGATGAATTGGCCGATGATAATGATATGTATGGTGATAGCATTGATGAAATTAAAAATAAAATATTTAGTTATCTCTCTTTAAATTTTCAGATGGTAGGTTCTGTGTAGTTGAGGAAAAGCACCGCATTGATCCTCCCACAATTCAGATGGTAGTGACGACCTCCAGATTTGGTAGAAGTACGTTCACAAATGACGTCATCTTGCCAGGTGGTTGCGACAAACTAATCGATGATCTGAACAAAGAGTTTTGATGGAATACAAATTTTCTAACCAACGTTGATTTTATTTTTGCACTAAACCTGCGATATTTTGTTATATTTGTCAGTTATGGTTTTTTCCAATAAAATGATGGCCTATGTCTCATTTTTGGTTACGATCAGATCATATTTCTGATTCACAAGTTCATTTTTTTTAATAAATGAACGTTAAAAATGACGAATTGAAAACTTGATTTAGTTAAAAACTTCACGTCGCACATGGATGAAAAAATTTCTTTTTCAAACAAACGTCACGTGTTGAGATACAAGTTGGCATAAATATTCGTTTGCCTGTGCATTTGTATTCTAATTTTAAGCAAGAACACGATTAAAAGATAGAAGACTTTGCATGGCCTTTAGAAGAAAATTTTTTTAAACTTTCTTTTATTATTCAAATGAGGCTAGATCAGGATTTTATAAAATTTGCGTTTAAATCAAATGCTCTAAAAATCTAAAAAATACTGATTAACATGTTTAAGTCCACCAGATTTCTGAGCCAAATTAACTTAAATTTGTCATTTCATTATTACACAGATTGTACTAGAACCTTATAAGATAAAATATTTCACAAATAAATAACTTATCCCTATTGAACAGCAAACATTTATGCAATGATAGCCTCTAATATACTTAATAAAAAAGTTAATCCCTTCGAATGCTTATATTGACTGATGGTCCGATTAATCGTTCTCCGCTTTAATTTCATTTACTTGTTCATTCATATCTACTAATTTTTTCATACACTTATTGTGTTATTAGATAATTACAGTTAAATAAAATCAAATAAAAGCATTTTTATTTTACTAACCGTTAGATTTATACTCACAAAACCACACCGAGCCGATAATATCAACCGGTGAAAAAGTTATTATAACCATTGTTGAGTAAAAGTAATTCTATGTAAATTTTAAACGTGATGTGAAAAAAAAAATTTTCAAGAAATGATGCCCTTTGTGCCATAAATGCATTTCCGTGTCGCCAGATATGGGAATCTTTATAAATGCTCTAGTCGTTTCCAGGGAATTTTGCTTTTTGTGAACAATCATTTTATATAACCATTTTCGTTCAAAATATAAAAATATAATATAATAATTTTTATCTCTTTATACAATAAAACCCAACGCAAAGTTAAAATTAAATAGAATAATAATCGTTATTCACTCAACATCTTTATTTTATACAAATAACAAGAGCATTGATTAAAAGTTATGCTTGAAATGACAATATTGCATGAAATGTTAACATGACCACATAAGAAAAATTAACAGAACTAATTTAGCACGGCAGCGATCGAACGCTGAATAATATAATTCAAGTCGTGGTATTATGTGAATACACAATATTTCTTAGGACATTGTTACTGGATATTGTTCACATACTTATAGATAATATAACGCTTATTAAAAATACCTTATGACTTGTTGAATTATTATATTTACTGTCATAAACTTTTCCATTTCCATTCTTGCTGAATTGATTTTTCTGAGAACTCAACTTTCCATGAATTGTTCTGCTGGGTTGATGTATGTATAATGGTTGATTCTGTGAGAATTTACTGTTGTGTGATTGCGCGGTTTTGAAGTGTGGTTTCGTGTTTATTTAAGGTTTTAGAAATGTGATATTCCTATTGGTATATTATAATTAGTTAATGTTGTGTATTTTATGTGGTATGTTTTATGTGGTATGTTTTATGTGGGGTGTTTTATGTGTAATGATGTATGTGCGAGTCTACATGTGTGTGCCATATCGTATCTTCATTGTTCTTTGTATGTGAGGTTGTATGTATACGTGATGTTGTGTTGTGTGGAGGCACATGTTTATGTCCAGATGATGTTGCCAAATGGTGTTATTTAGTTGCTGTGTAGTTTAAAGTTTTGAGGTTTTCATGTTTTGTAATTAAATGTGTATGAATATATTATACGGTCTCAATTGATCGATCGACCTGCTAAGCCGTTAAAAATTGAATAAAATTTTCCATCATATTGCAATATTTATCAGGAGATTTTGTGTTTTTTTAATGGGATTACACACGCTTGAAGATAGATTTTCAATAGAATTTTGAAATAAATTTATGTTATTCAACTGTAGTGGAAACTTATTCGTAACTTTTTGATGATGGCTTACAGAAAAAAATAACCTTTTCGATGATTTACTTTATGTTTAGTTTGGGCTCGCATTGTTTGCAGCTTAAAACTTGGATATGTGGAAAGATGAAGATAATAAAATAAGACATAAAGAATGGATTATTTGTCGTGTTGGCATGTTTTGCAGAGTACTGCGACATAACATCGGATTCGTTTGTCATTCTATAATGCTATGGTGATAATGTCAGAGATGTCAGGCAACGTTCAAGAATTAACGGTATGCTGATCAACTTTCATAGCGATATGCTGGTCATTTCTCATAATTAGTTCAATTAGTTTTTATTTTTTTTACGTTATGTAACAGACGCTGGGCATGGGACAGGCATTCAATTACGTTTGCTTGACGATGATGGATTGCAGATGCAGCGAAGCGATACAAAGTGGAACGTTATTACTATTCGCTCTGATTTATTGTAATTACCAGATGAGTAATTGTGCTCTGCCTAATCGTTCCATTGATGCCAATCATTCCTCTTGAAAAAGCTAAACATTTTCTACTCGAAAGAACAAAAATATTCATATATTTTTTTATTTATTTTTTGTTTTTTTTTGTGTTATATAACCATAGAAACCATAAAATCTAACTGATTTTTTTCATCTATAATACTTCAACTTATTTTTATTATTTTATTTATTTTAAACTCATTTTTTATTATTGTAATTTATTATTCTGAACGCATTAATCATTAATTTTTCCGCAACCATACTTTCAGTTTTATACAATCTGGTCGGCGAGATGGTTAAGGCGCCTGGTCTCGTTTGGGTTGTGCTTGGGTTCAAATCCATGTGAGTGTGTGGATTTTTGTTCAGTCATATACACTACGTTTTGTTTATATTTCAGAGGATAATTTAAAAAAATAGTTAATGATATTAGTTACTGCGTTTTATAATATTATATTTTTTTTTTGAATAAGCGTACAGAAGCAAGGTAGTTCTGTTGCGACAGGACTTTAATGATTTCTGTCAGTGACTGCCCACAACATGTCACTGCCCAGCGCGTGAGTCATGTTCATCTGTTGCTGACGCTTCAAACAATACTAATGCGACTGAACACGTTTCCAAGTTTCAAACAATTAAAGAGTCATTTGTTTTCTTTTTAAACATTCGCAACAATTTCAACGAACGAAACAAGCTTGAAATCTAGCTAAGACATATTGTTTTGTTTTTTCGTTTTGCTCAACAGACTTTAGTGGTGTAAAAATGTTTGACAAAAAAATGATTCAAATTTTTAAAAAAATGTTTTAGAGATTGCAAAAGTTGGGGTAGGGCCTGGGTTCAAATCCACGGAAATGCGTGGATTTTTGCGTAGTCTTATTACGCTTTGTGTTGTTTATATTTTTGAGGATAATTTTTATAATTATTCATGTTAATAATTATTATGATTTTTAATATCATCATTGTAGGAAAAATATGAAAATATAAAAAAATCTAAAAAAATGTAATTTCTCAAGAAAGTTCTGACAAGCACACAGAAAATCTAAAAAGAGAAGCGATACGCACATTTTCAGTGGAAATATTCTAAAGAAAAACGCACTGAAATTTTTTTGTGAAAAAACCGGAAAAACAAAGTCAAATATTTTCAATTCACCGTGTAGTCAGTTGCGTGAAAAAAGTTTAGTTAAATTTCGCAGTTTCTAGGAATTGTTTCTGCTTCCATTGTTCTAAATGAATCTTAATTTTAATGTTATTCAAGTCACATTTCACAAACAAATATCAATATAAAGCATTATATTTTGTACAACATTTTCTGATATGAATAAAATGTTAAAAACTCATGTAAAATATATTCATTCCCTATTCATTCAAATGATTTAGATAAAAATTTCATAATTTTTTATCTCTTTATGTACTAAAACCTGACACCAAGCTAAAATTAAATAAGATAATAATCCTTATTCATCTAACATCTTTTTTTTACAGATAATCAGAGCATTGATTAAAAATAATGTTGAAAATAACAAAAGTATGAAATATTATGATGATCAAATAAGAATATTTAGCATGACTAGTATGACACGGCAGCGACCGAACGCTGACTAATTGCTTCCAGAAGCGGCCACCTCAGCCGCACATTAACAGCACAACTGGTCCTGATGTATCCGAGGATGTGAGCAATTATATCGAGGAAGCTTACATTAGCCATGCGCGTCTAATAATCTTTTGTTTACGGCATGCCTACCTCTCTGCAAAGAAAAAATTATTATTCTATTTTTTTATCGTTCTGAATATTGCGTTGTCAACATTTTTTATTATTTAAAGCATTTGTACTTTTTGCTTTCCGCAGTCGCCATAATGTTTGAACGGAATCAAAGTTTTAATGCTCATATAGGTATAACTTTTGATCTATAAAATTATTTTTAAACTTTATTTAAAGACCTGTGTACAACGTACATAGTTAATAATGATGATTAAAAAATGTTAAGCTGTGTCAGTTGCTGATCAGTTTTTATTGACTGAATGTTTCTGAAATCAAGACTGATGATGCATATATAATGTGTACACTATGCAAAGATGTTATAATATGGATATTTCAGTTTCATTTATTCTTGACTACAAGAAATAATTCGGTTATTTATATCTATCTTTCGCTTTACATGTTTTGTTTCATCCATCAAGAGGTAAGTGGGAAATTTTTAGGAATGTTAATTAGTCATTAAGTAGTTTAAAAATTTATTTCAATGTACCAATAATATTTATCAATATGCACCCAGCAAATTCGCATACTTTAAAATAGTTCTCTACATATTTCATTCAAAAGAAAGTTAAGCACGAAATATGCAAAACCATAAAAAAAACTTGAGTAATAAAAAGTCAAATTAAAATTATATTAGATTAACATTAATTACAGATTATTAATTTCATTTAATCACACTTATCAGTGAAACTTGCTTAGAATTTCTAACTCAGTGGCTTGCATTTCTGTTGTTCGTTTGCATGTGCAATGTGTTAATAAATACGCCTAATGTGTGTGTGGAATTAATTTAATCTTTCAGTTGCATAGTAAAATTTGATATAGCATGCGACTCAATGTTGTGTTCACGTTTCAGCAAAAAGTTTCAATTAAAGTTAATGTCGTTCATAAAACACGCAACAACGCAAGACATCACGCAACAACGCAAGACAACACCGCACAGCACGACGCAAAACAGCCCAACATGACACGACACTAACCGGTGGGAAGAATTTGTTTGAAATCCTCCTCTTCCTCTACCAGTCCCCCACCATCTTCAACGAATCTGCCTAGGTATGGATACGCAACGTCTGCCAAAAATTTTTTTCAAATTTTTAAAAACTTTTTTTATTATTCATTATTATTCATTAATATCGATGGATAAAATTTATTACAATTTGGACATGAATTGAATGTGGATAATTAAATGAAAATTTGTTCACTTCAATAAATATTTGTTTGCCTTCCACATCAATAAGACAACGCGGGAGAATCAAATATGGCCGGGAGAAAAATAAAAAAAGGCAAAGTGTGTGCTGCTCCAGTTCGATAAGCAAGTTTGTTTGCTGAGTTATTAGACTGGTTAAATCATCATTGCAGCCCAATATCCAGCTTATAGAAGCCAGCCAAAGAGAGAAGAAAACTAAAAAAAATATTAGTAAATATAATATGCGGCGTCATGCATTATAAGTGTGATACATATGAAATTAGCGTCTTTGATAACGTCTGATTGGGGAAATATTCGAAAAAAATTATTTATGGCCATTGTTAATTGCAATTTTGGTAAACATTGAAGTTTTTCATGAATGAACTTGAAACAATGGATTTTTGGCATAGGTAGATACTAAACATGATCTTACGTTAAGTGTGCAGTTGTGCTTTCTTTTACATTAGAGTTATTTTTACAAGAGCATTCGTTATAAAATCATTTTATGCTCAGAATGCAATTTCTTCACGTCTTGAAAACAATTCCGATTATAAGTCTTTGCACAATTCCAAACGAGATGATCATGCAAATTTCATTACTAAGCAAATAAAAAGAAATTAATAAAATATAAAACGATGAAACGCGGACAAACGCATTATTTTTGAAAATTTCTTCAAACTGAACACAACTCTTGAGCACTAAAATTACTTTTTCTGGAATTCTTTAAGGAAACATGTGTTAAACAAGTTTCTATTAAAACATTAAAATGCTTAAGAGTGTTATTTATTTATTTTTATTTTATTTTCTCAAAAAAGAAGGGCAAACTAAAAAGCAACCAAATGCTTGTAGGAAAGTCACCCTATCCAAATGAAATTAAAATTGATCAACATAAATTAAAGATTAAAGTAGTTCAACAAAAATCAAAGATTAAATTAGTTCGAAATAAAAGATACATGAGGAATATATTCTTTTGTTATTACGATTGTTTCTAATATTGTTAATAATATTTAAGGTAAAATAATCAAAACCTAACTATTAAACACAAACACTATTTATCGCTATCATAGTCGCTGTTAATGCAATCAATATCATTGTTGCATAACTACAACTATTTCAACTAATAAAATATCAACCATTTTATAACATAATGAAAACAAAACCTCAAAAAAATCACACAAACACACACGCACACACGCACACACTTACTAAATATATATCTTTATAAATTTATAACTAATTATTAACACTGACCATACGTTTTTAAATAAATAAATAATTATAAAGACGCATACATATTCATACGCAGGAACATAAAATATGAACCAAAGATTTATGAGACCCTCAAATTGTTGCGCACCACTTTCAAAGTTTTTCTCTCCGCCGAGTAATTTGTAAGTTCCAAAAGATGATTTATAGGCATGGCTCGAGTTTCATAGCTGAATTAATCACATTCTGACAAACATAATAATCCACATATTAAAAGTATTTTTTGTGGTTTGTCATTCGTTAGATCTTTCATTTCACTCTCATTTTTAGAGGGAGACGCTGAATTTGTAAATAAAACCTTCAAGAGTACAAACATATTTTAAAAAATTACAAAAAACATAAAAAGTTTATGTTTTTATGAATGTCCATATTCCTGTCTGAGTACAAAACATGCAAGAAAAATATACTTTGATTAAAAACAAGCTAAATTAAAATTGGTGCTTCCGTATTGCGTGCCATATGACAGAGGCAAGTTCAAATATGTATTCAAATACATTATTAGCCTATTAGTATCATTCCGTCTAGGTTCGTATTCATGTGTGCATGCTGTTGGTAGCTCATTCCGGACATTATAAAATATAGAGGCAATTACTAATAAAAAATACTTCTGTGAAACCTTTCTCTACTCGAACACCAACAGACGCCGCCGCCATCCTAGGCAGTCTCGCTCTTAGCTGGGACTCGTCTCTTCATGAATGTTCATCTCCGGGTTGGAAAACACGGGCCGGACGGCGCCCTGCTTGCCAGTCAGTTAATCCGGCCCTACTAACCGGTGACAAGTCTTCTTCAGACATGTTTTAGACGTTGAACGCGACAAGCAAATGCTAATTGAAATAAATTTATTATCAAACGAGAAAGAAAATAAACTCACGATACTCTGCAAATTGAATGTTTTTGAAATGTTTCCCCAACTAAATGATAAACTAAATTCAATATTCAAAATAAAAATCAATTCGCAACAGTAGAGCATCAGTAATGACTAAACGATATCCAGAAAAATAACCCGCAGAATAATGTTCGAAATATCACCGATTAGCAGAACGATCAAAACCAAGTACACAGGAACCAGACTAATAATTAACAGCTTACAAAACCTTCCCCTTTCTTTTTTCCTCCTTTCAAACAATTGTCCAAAACACTTATGAGCCAATTCAACTGAGAAACCATTCATTCTCAAACATTCTCACTATACTCGTGCAATACCATTCACATAAAACCAATTGACACAATATTTTACCAGCACACCTACAAAACCAGTTTATTCAACATTCTACCAGCATGCATACCAGAACGCTCCATACAACAAGCCAACCAACACACGCGCATGAACAATTCATTCATATACGCGAGTCAAAAACTTCACGCTTATATGCATTAAACATTTTTTTTGAAACATTTTTAATTGTCAACTTATTAAATATGTACAATATCTATATACAATGCACGAATTCAGAGAAACATATTCTTACGTGAATGCCTTCATTGGCTAGGGGGCCGGGTGGGTACCATCCCGTTGTGAACAGTTTTTTTAATAAATGTGAGAAAAAAAACATTTTATGTATAAATTCGGCCAAAAAACACTCCCCATGAAAATTTTGCTTTCGCCCGTCAAAGTTGTCTAGATCTCTTACTGATGAATACCTTACCTTTTCGGGGTACTTTAAAATGCAAACGTTCTCAAAAATTCAAGCGTCGTAAATTTATAAAATGATCAAAAGATCAATACAAAATGTATTAAACAGCTAACAAGATATCTGAAAATATTTAAAGTTATTTGAAAAAAAATTAAAAATATTTAATGATATTTAAAGATGCAAAAGTTGAATGAAGATAAAAAAAAAACAAATAAACGACATGAACGAATGAACGTACGTGTATAAAATACAATATAGGAAACGAAACACCATTCAAAGATAACAGAAATGTGTATTAAATAAAAATGAATACATACAGACATAAAATTATAGTTAATAATTTAGTTAGTTAATAATTAATAGTTAATAATAGTTAAGAATTGATTTATTTACAGTAAAAAACTTTCAATTTCTGTTGAATGTTTTCTCTTTTACACAGTTCTTTGTAATTTAGGGTTGTTGAAGGCTTCTATAGAAGCTTCGAGAGAGAATCCTCTAATGAAGTTACGATGTTTTTTTTGTTTGGCCTTTTACTCCTTTTTAATTGAAAAATTGTTCATTTGTGATTGTGTCGAAGGAACGTTGGAACGTAAATAACCAATCAACTGCTGAATTTTAGTGGGATTTTATTCTTGATAAATTATGGTTAATAAAATGGTTTAATTTAAAATTAATTAAAATTCTGACGGTTGTTTGTTAGCTTTATTAATTAATTTTGTTAAGACAGTAAAGTATTATTAATATATGAAAATAAACCATTAAATCAATAAATAATATATATATATATATATAATTAAAGTTTATATATATTAACCGAATCAAAATAGATTTTCCTAATGGCCCTTGATATTGAAGCTTTCAAAAATATCTAACTTACAGAATTTACCAATTTTATCCTGAACTGTGATAGCATTTAAGTGGGAAGTGTGTGTTGGTGACCACTATCTAAACAATCCATTGAGATTATTATTAAATTGTTTTTGAGATGACAGAATAAAAGTGTTATATCAGTAAGATTATCTCAAACTTTTTATAGCGCCAGCTTACTTGCATGCTTAAAAGTATAAAAAAATCAGTTGGGTATTTTTGTTAAATTAAAATCCGCTAAACATAAACATTAAACAATATCTAAAGTCTATCTAAGCGAAAGATTCTAGCAGATTGTTAACTTAGATCTGCGATACGAAAATACCGAAATGAAAATAATTTATAATTACAAGATGTTAAATAATCGTTCTGGAAGTGAGCGGACGTGAGGTGTTTGAAAAATTGAGGTTGTTTGATGATCGGAAAATGGCCTGGTCATGAGTGTTTCATGGTCTTCTGGTGTTTTTATGGAGTTTTTTGGTAGTGTCACAACATTCTGTGGTGGAGGCACAGAATGTTTTACGACTAGATTATTAGATATGTTGGAGCTGTAAAACCACTGGCAAGTAGGGTACTTGTATTTTGGTATGCAGTTAGGTATTTTTATTGCATTTAAATTATTTATTTTGTATTAAACTTGTAAAATAATTTTAAAATATTTTAAAATTATGAAACACTAATGACGGTGTTGTATTTTATGTTAAATAGTACGTAGCGAATTTCTGTCAACAACCTAATGTATATATGTATCATTGCAATGGATAGAAAATCAAAAGGTGTGTTATAATACAAAGGGAACATTATGCTACAAATGTTGCTCTGAAACAAAAGATATACTATGATACAATGGATATGTTATAATACAAAATATATATCATGATACAAAAGATACATCATAATACAATAGATATGTTATGATACAATGGATAGATGTTGGTATTGTTGGGATACATACAGAGGATATGTAATAACATATGAATGATGTGTTACGATACATTTGACGTGATATCGTATTACGAGATCTTTGCCATCTATTCACATTCACGCCACTTGACGTTTTTAATCAACTTATTTATTGTGAAATTCGGAAAAAATCACAT